TTTGAAGTTTACACGGCTACATTCTCACCTGAAAATATGTTAAAACTTTTTTTGCGACCCAAAAAGAGAAATAAGAGCAATATTAAAACTAAGTTGCTGCTGCCATTGTTGGAAACTGGAATTGGCTGGGCCACGCTATGAATTCTGCAATATGATTTTTCAATTTTGTTGTCTTAGAAAATCGGGCGAAATTCGGGAGAATGGTGGCTCCGGGAGATTTTCGGGAGGGCACTGAAATTCGGTATTCTCTCGGAAAAATCGGGAGGGTTGGCATGTATGGTTGTGGCAACATCACTAACCTTGCAAACACCTCAGAGTAAATCATATCACAGAATATGACGAGCGTATGTTCAACATACGCTCGTCATATTCTTTCCGATCCGATACCAAGTAATATTCAGGGTGGTATCGGCGATACTGATCCGATACCGATACTTTGTACAAAAACTTATTTTATTTATTGTATCTCAAATTATAGCATCATAATGATTCCAGGACAACAGATTATTTGTTCTTATCACTTAATAATGCAGGGTTCATCATATAGAAATAAAAAAATGAAGTTGTGCTATTTGAACAGCTTGCCTGCCTGCAGCACTAAAGGACTCCGTGAGAGACGTCTGTCTCGCCCTAGCAGCACCTGTCTCTCTCCTCCTCTTCAGTTCACCTCAACATACGCTCGTCATATTCTGTGATATGATTTACTCTGAGGTGTTTGCAAGGTTAGTGATGTTGCCACAACCATACATGCCAACCCTCCCGATTTTTCCGAGAGAATACCGAATTTCAGTGCCCTCCCGAAAATCTCCCGGAGCCACCATTCTCCCGAATTTCGCCCGATTTTCTAAGACAACAAAATTGAAAAATCATATTGCAGAATTCATAGCGTGGCCCAGCCAATTCCAGTTTCCAACAATGGCAGCAGCAACTTAGTTTAATATTGCTCTTATTTCTCTTTTTGGGTCGCAAAAAAAGTTTTAACATATTTTCAGGTGAGAATGTAGCTGTGTAAACTTCAAATATCTGAGCCGACCGACACATCGTCTTCAAACCCCGCGGTCTTTCGCTACTCGGGTTAAACATCATATATAAGTCACTTTGATAACTTAAAAATGTTATTGTTTGGCTTTTTCAGTGTTTTATTTGTTCGTGAGTAAATCGGTTTGGCTGAGATTAAAGTTATTAGATTTGATTAAATTAAATTTGACTTTATTAATCCTTCGGAAGGGTTCCTCCGGGGTTTTCACACAGCTGAATAAACGTCAAACAGAAAATGGTTAAACAGAAGTGTGAGACGGTCGAGAGTTTACGTCAGTGCCCGGTTATATTTTAGAGAGCAAGGAGCAGACAGCAGTTTCACTCCACCGAGGGAGCTCGTGACGTACTACCCGGCTTTCTTTAGACCGCGAAGGCCGGGTCCTCAGGTGGAAGCAGCCTCTGAATTTGGACACCCCTGCTGTTTCCGGGCCGGCCAATAATAACGGTGACATTTAACGTATTTTATCCGATAAATAAACCCTGTAAAATGTATTCCCCCCCCAAACGCCCTTTTGAATGTCTCCCTAGTATGGCCACAACACCTCACTCTAGGAGCACTTTTTTTGCCACATGTATTGCAAACCACGTCTCAGCTGTGTGTGGAGGTAAAATACGTCCGCACATGACTTCAATTACGCTCAGCCATTGTTGTGAGTGCGCACGCCAAGGGCTGCGAGACATTTATACAGCCGTATTTCGTACATGACTATGAAAGGCGGAAGAGGAAGTAGTTCCTTTGAATGTAGACAGTCCGAATGTTATAGTTTCTTTCCACTGTGTTCCTGTTAATGATAAACTATAAATTTACTCTAAATTACTAAAATATCGATATTTTAATGTGAGAATCGATTCTAGAACATAAATGATTGGTATCGGAGGAATCGATATTTCAGGATCGATCCGCACATCACTACTCGATACACGCTTCGAAGCCTCGATACAGAACGTCACATCACTACTTCACACAATAAACTGTGTGTTTGTATTTCCGGTCTCTCCATTAAAGTCAGTGTGTAATGTTTTCCTGGCTAACATCAGCTGTGTGCAGCTTAGTTCCAGCACAAACGGCACAAATCTGCCGCTCCATAGTTCACGGTCACGGACTCACAGCTGGAATATGTAAACGCGAGTTTAGAGAATTTGCAGAAAAAAATATTTGTTGTTGTAGGCTAAGAGTTTAAAACGGGGAGCGGCTCAATATAACAATACATTGTTCCATTATTATGTATTATGTGTTACAAAATGAGCAAAAGTGCCGTATCTTTATTCAGCTCAGACAGCCGCTGTCACAGATTAACTTGTGACGGTCAAACACAAGTTAATCTGATGTATGGTCTACTTGTTTTTCAGGAGCTGCTACACACGAACCAGGAAATAAACACTGAATATTTCATCTGTGATATTTGTGAGGTTACCTTAAATACAGCCCTTCAGTTTTATTGCTGTTGAACAATAAAATATTAAAACTGTCGCGAGTTTGCCTGGTGATATTTTCATACATGAGGCGATCGCGAAAACGGCAAACAAATAAACGTCACCACGCCGATGCTGTTCACAGGACAGCAAGAGTAAACGATCCGGAGAATCTTGTCTTCGTTATCGTTCCCCTCGTACGTTTCATTACTCCGATTTCAGCGTTTTCGCCTCACAAAGCGTGCAGTTTACTTTGTCCACTCAAATGGAGTCGAGTCAACTAGCGCACCTCTGTGGCTAAGTGCCATAGCCTACAGTCAGACTAACTTGTGGCACACATCTGCACCTGGCTCTATGAACATATTTTAATTCCAGTTTCATGCACAATACATTTGTACTTAATTTCAGCCTAGATTGGTTTTTTTAAAAAAAAAAAAAAAGCCAAATCATATACACAAAGTTCTAAAAGTCCACTGCTATTGTTTATGATTATTTTAATATTTTTTCCATAACAAAGAAATGGCTTCAACAAAGATTACAAATTAATATTTGACTAGTGTTGTAGCGTCACATCCTGTTAGCACAGTCTGTCTTTTCTCAGGAAATGAATTAAATTTGAAAATCATCTGAAATGATTGCGTACGGAGTTTGTATATAACATTTGTGTAACTGTAGCCACCTGAGACAATCATGTACTGTTTGTCAGAAACACTTGAGGCCAAAATAGATAATTGATCAGTACAGCTAGTGAGAGTTGGTAGTTATATACAGTCTGTATAAGTTTGGTTAATTTAACAAACATTTGTGGGTGACGTGACAGGAGTCTGTGACAAACATCCCAAACAGCAGGATGTTACATCCTGCAGTGTGACTCGATTTTGAGTTCAATTCTGGATTTAACAAGGAGCCAATGAAGGGAAGCTGATATAAACTGAACTGAAGAAGCTTCTCGGATGAAACGTCTTCACAAAACTTAAAGAAGCCTCTTTTCTTTCCAAGCTCCTTAGATCACATGACCTGGATGATTGAGAACCTACAGACATATTGACCTGGTTTCTAGGTTACAGGACAGGTCAGAGGTCAGCGACTGTAACTCAATGACTTCTGTTAATGTGAACTCACTGAGTGTTAGTGGTTTACCTCTCAGACTGACTGAAATCCACATGAAGATGATGATGAAGGAAGAGGAGGACAGAGCAGAGTCTGCAGGATCCAGCTGTCCGTCTGTGAAGAGTGACCGGTCCAAAAATCAACCTCCACTCTTCAGTGGTGAACCTGGACCAACAAGGTCAGAGAGCTGAACTCACTGAGCTAACAGAAATAATTCTGCACTGACATTATTATTAGTGTTGATTCTAGTTGATTTTCTGACTGTGTTTTTGAGCTGAGAGGAAATGAAAATGAGTTTGTAACAAAAATCAGTTTTGTCCAGTTTTCCTGTAAAAAGCTGAACTCTAATCTAAGAGGATGTTACTGACAGGAAACAGCTGCATTATCTGCAGTCTGTGTGATCACAGCTGCTTCAATCATGTTTGTGTCTGCAGAGGTCAGAGGTCACAGTCTGCAGGGTCCAGCTGTCCATCTGTGAGGAGTGACCGGTCCAAAGGTCGACCTCCAGCCTTCAGTGGTGAACCTGGACCAACGAGGTCAGAGAACTGAACTCACTGAGTTAACAGTAATAATTCTAAACTGACATTATAATTAGTGTTGAGTGTGGTTGATTTTGACTGCGTGCTGAGAAGAAATGAAAATGAATACAATTCCTCTGACTCATTCCAGATCACCAGCTCACCTGTTTCTCAGTGCAACAACTTTGAACTTGTTGCCATGAACTTGAATTTCAGTCAAGAGTACAAACTTCTGAGGCTTGTAATGTTACCACCGAAAGGACTAGCTGGCAGTCAGACTGTACATGTCGTGTCCTTCTAATCCAAAGTCAGCTTTGTAGCTGAAAACAAACACTCACACACATTTATTTCAACAGTCTTAAACTCACAGGAATTGGGTTGAATGTCACTGTACACTGTAAGACAGTATGAGAACTGCTGGACTGCACAACTTAGACCACAAATGGGCAGTGCAGAAGTTCGACTGCCCACCAATGTTCTCATGCTGTTAAAGAACATTTTACAATTATCTATTCTATTATGCATGATTTACTGCTTATTGAAGAAAGAAACAAACTTTCTCAGTGTCAGTGAAGAGCTGAGCAAAGACCTCAGAGGTTCAAAAAAACATTTTATTCTATCCTAAATAGAACAAAAGAAAAACAGTCCAAAAACAAAGAGACGGTTCTGGGGACTTTGCAGCAGAGACCAAGCAACTCAAGGAGCTTTGGCAAGGAGCCACAATTAGATGAGCAAAACTATCTATGATTCTGTTCTTTCAAATGTCATATCTAACTGACAGCTTAAAATGAAGCTCTGAAAGATGTCGTATTTTGGCACACTGTCAATTTTTCAGAAAATTAAAGGATTTTAAGTGCGAAAAATATGGTAATCAAACGCTTTGTGGGTCAGTAGTCACAGTCGTGCTGAAACACAGCTGGCATGTCTGATCCCCAGCCTGCACCACCTTCACAGCTGCTCCAGCAGCAGGCCCATATGCTGGCAGAAATGGTAGCCATGCACCGGGAGCAGGCGGTGGTTCACCAGGAGCAGCTCGACAAGCTTGCTGAGCGGAAGACCCGCAATGCTAGAGAGGCAGGTCGGGACCACCTCTCCCTCCTCCTCCGCCGGCAGTGTGGCTGGCCACTACACCTTCTTGGAAGCTTTCCAGGCCGTGGCAGAGGCATACCAGTTGGCAGCCGTAGAATGGGCACTGGAGTTGCTGCCGCTGATATCAGCAGAGTCCCAGACCGCAGCTCTGAGCCTGCCTCAAGAGGCAGCTTCAAGGACATTTGCCATGTGGTGCAGGATCACCTGAGCCTCTGCCCGGAGTTTCACCGCCAGCGGTTCAGTGCCAGTCGGCTGACTGAGGAGGATCGGCCATTTGCGTTTGCCCAGCAGCTACAGCGACACCTGGGCAAAGTGTGTGATTGGATGGAGGGAGGTACAGTACCTGGCTACCACCCACATAACAAAATTGGTATGGTCTGGAACTGGCCCACACAATGTGTTTACACATGGCCCACATACCGCAAAGAATGACAGCCCTTTGGTGGCCCAGCTCTGGTTTGCCAGACGTGGCCCACACATGCACCAGCACAAGGCCATTTGTAGACACTCTGGTGGTCCTTTGCTGGCCCATGTGTGGATTACCTCTGGCAAACCTGGTCTGTGCCACCAAAGGGCCATCATTCTTTGCGGTATGTGGGCCATGAGTAAGTTGCATGCAGCCACGGGCCAGTTGCAGACACACTGCTGGCCCTGTGCTGTCCCAGAACACTTTCAGCTCTGGTCCCAGAATTCAGCCTAATGTGTACCTTAATTAAGCCATGTAATAACAACATGTGCATAATAGTGCAAAAGCAACATGACAAATTTTGTTCAGACAGTGAATGGAATGATTCTTATACAGCACTTTTCAACTCTCCCAGATTACTCAAAGTGCTCTATACAACATGCCACATTCACCTAGGGCTGCTCAATTAATCGAATTTTAATCACGATTACGATCTGGGCTTTCAACGATCATTAAAAATGACTGAGCCGATTATTAGCCCCTCCCTCATTTATCCGCGACACCTTAAAGGCCGGTCCGTGAAAATATTGTCGGGCATAAACCGGTCCGTGGTGCAAAAAAGGTTGGAGACCGCTGATTAAGAGGACCCGAGGGAAGCTCGGAAAGCTAAGCAGAAGTTATTTGAAGAGTGACTGCCGTTGGTTGAAAAGAGAGTTTAAAAAAAAAACTTCAGTGGTGTTGCACACTATTTTATATTATTTTTTTAAAGTCATTGTTAACCCTTTAAAGCCGGTCAGAGCAGCACGCTCCGTTTTGCGTAACTATTTTTAAATCCCTGTAGAACCTGAACCGTGTAAGCTAGCGCAATAATTTGTTTTGCATATGAAACCGGAGGAGTTGTACTTACATCTGATGCCATCAGCTTGTCCTCGGTCATGGTTTCGTTCCACATATAGCTTTGCAAAAATTGCACAAAAAGCGCTTGCAGGAACAAAAACATAATATTCCAGAAGCACGCTTTGCCGTTCCTATCAGCTGTTCGTAACACTTCCCACAGTGAAATGATGCACATGCTGTTTTCTTTGCAAATTTGCAAAACTATGAAGACACTCAAAATAAATTTCCTGTGGTGGGAAACTATTTTTTGCAACTTTATTGTATTTAAAGTTTTGAGGGATAAGCCTCTTAAATTTCTCCAAGTAGAAATATATGTAAAAAAAACAAAAGCGATTTTCAATTTTTTTTTTAGTTTATTGCACTTTTTTGCAATTTATGTAATTGCTATGGACTTAATGCATACATATTATTAAAATATGGGCTATAACAGTTGTATTGATGTATAGCAACTTGAACTGCTCCCACAAATGGCACTACAGCATGTAAAAAAAAATAATATAAGCTCTGGTGGACTTGGTTCTATAGTAGGTCTTAAAGGGTTAAATAAATATCGTCAAATAATCGTGATCTCAATTTCAGTGAAAATAATCGTGATTATCATTTTTGCCATAATCGAGCAGCCCTACATTCACCCAATCACACACTCTCTAAACTGAGTGTTTCCTAACTACACTCATACACATTCACGCTCACGACATGCAGACAGGAGGAGCCAGCGATCAAACTACTAACCTTCCGATCAATCGGTGACCTGCTCTACCTTCTGAGCTACAGCCACCCACTGGCAAAGATGAGTAAACCATCACTAGGTTTTGGATAAAGTGTACACTCACAAACCTGTCAAACCTGCATTTGAAACGTTGGCTAACATAGCAGTATAGTATTGCAAAATGGTATTTTGCTAACTTCTAACTAAAATAGGAAAATAGGAACATAAATAGTCTGGTTGACATACACCAGTCTTTGGCCCAGATGTTGCCCTGGCCTCAGTCGGGTGGTGGGAGTGTGTGGCAGAGGTGTGGTGTCTGGCTCTGCTGCAGTGCTTGAGGGGCAGTGCCAGGGATGCTGAGGGCCAAGTGAAAGGGGTTTCATTAATGAATGCTTCACTTTTTATGGTGACGCTGAGGACAAGAGGAGGTGTGTGTCTGCAGGGGCAGCTTGAAAACTGTCCAAAGTCCTTAAGGTGCAGTCCAACTCTCTGGCTGAGCTGCTTGGAGGAAAGCATCTACTGTTTGACACACTGTGTAAATAAAACTGCTGCAATTAATCGAACGCTGTGTGAGTCAATGGTGTGTCACAGCTGCTGAAGTTCCCTTTGTGCTTGAGGCAGAGCAGAAACACAAAAAAGAGAGAAAGACGGCTCTCAGGAGGCCAAAAGGTCCCTGCTGGCAACTGTACAATGAATTCATCAAAGTGTTTGAAACCTGATGACTTTATTGAATAAAACATGTTTGTGTCTGCAGAGGTCAGAGGTCACTGTCTCTAGTGTCAAGCTATCTGTCTATGAGGAGTGACCGGTCCAAACATCTCCCTCCATACTTCAGTAATGAAACTGGACCAAAGAGGTAAGAGAACTGTGATGAGCTCCGTTACATGTTTGTGTTTTCCTGGTTAAATATGATGTGAAAAATCCTAAATAGAAAACATAAAAAAAAATGTTAGAGTTGGTCATTTGCTGTTTGAGGAGAGTGATGCTCATATCTGTGGGGAAAGTGTGAACTGAGTGGGTTCATATTTGTCTTTAAAGAACAGAGCTGCTCTGATTCTCATGTCTTTGTGTCTGATCTGTTAAACAGTCTGAGAGGTCACAAAGAGACCAGGGTAACGTCTAAGCAGTTCAAGCCTGGATCATACTGGGTGGTGTTAAGGAGACCTCCGTCAGGATAACACTCTACAACAGGGGTGTTCATGGCAGTGTACACTCCAAAAACACTCCCTAGAGCTCAATTTGTGAAACATGGTGGTGGAGCTTCAGCCTGTTTTGCTGTTTTTGGGTCAGAAAGGCTCACCATCATTAATGGAGCAATGAATTCTCAGTTATACCAGCAATTTAGAAAAGTTGTACAGTATACTGACAAATTTCATTTAAAAAAAATTACTCAAAGATGTGGAAGAAAAAAGCTTTGACAAGAATCGAAATAATTTCTGAAACAATATTTAGAAGTCTTTAGTTCTAATCTAAGAGTTGTCGTTTCATCAGCAGAGACCACAGCTCTGATGTGATTTTAATGAAGCATCTCCCTGAGTATGAACTTATGAAATATTATGAAATATTTAAGCTCTATGTAGACGTCATTGAGCCTTCATCTCACAGCCAGCTGCACACAGAAAAGTGTTATTTGTTTAAGTCAGAGGAAAGGTTGTTGTTCAGTGTCCCCTTTACTGGGATTAGTATTGAAATGATGTTTTACTCATGAGTTTTAGATTATGGAATTAAATTGGGTGGTGTCCCAGAAACGATGTGGGCTTCATAGATAATTGGCAAATCTTCTGGAGGAAACCTGGTCTTGTTAGGAGAGACGGCATCCATCCCACTTTGGATGGAGCAGCTCTCATTTCTAGAAATATGGACAAATTTATTAAACCCCCCAAAATATGACTATCCAGAGTTGGGACCAGGAAGCAGAGTTGCAGTCTTACACGCCTCTCTGCAGCTTCTCTCCTCCTGCTACCCCCCAAAAACCCATCTCCATAGAGACTGTGTCAGCTCCCAAACAAACTAAAAACAAACTAAAAACCAGCAACAAACAACTTAAACATAAAAAATCACAAAGAAAGAACAATACAGTATCCACATCTGAACCAAAGAGTAAAACAGTGAAATGTGGATTATTAAATATTAGGTCTCTCTCCTGTTATCATCTATCGTCCACCTGGGCCTTACACTGAGTTTCTCTCTGATTTCTCAGACTTTATATCTAATTTAGTTCTGAGCTCAGATAAAATAATTATTGTGGGTGATTTTAACATCCATGTAGATGCTAAAAATGACAGCCTCAACATGGCATTTAATCTGTTATTAGACTCAATTGGTTTCTCTCAAAATGTAAAAGAACCCACCCACCACTTTAATCACACTCGAGATCTTGTTTTAACATATGGCATAGAAACTGAACATTTAACAGTGTTTCCTGAAAACCCTCTCCTGTCTGATCATTTCCTGATAACATTTACATTTACAATAATTGATTACACAGCAGTGGAGAGTAGACTTTATCACAGTAGATGTCTTTCTGAAAGTGCTGTAACTAAGTTTAAGAATATAATCCACCCACTGTTTTCATCTTCAATGCCCTGTACCAACACAGAGCAGAGCAGCTATCTGAACGCTACCCCAACAGAGGTCGATTATCTTGTTAATAATTTCACCTCCCCACTATGTACGACTCTGGATACTGTAGCTCCTGTGAAAACTAAGGTCTCTAATCAGAAGTACCTGACTCCGTGGTATAATTCTCAAACACGTACCCTAAAGCAGATGACTCGTAAGCTGGAGAGGAAATGGCATGTCACAAATCTAGAGGATCATCATTTAGCCTGGAGAAATAGTTTGCTGCTTTATAAGAAAGCCCTCCGCAAAGCCAGAACATCTTACTATTCGTCACTGATTGAAGAAAATAAGAACAACCCAGGTTTCTCTTCAGCACTGTAGCCAGGCTGATAAACAGTCAGAGCTCTGTTACGATCCAATGTTGTCAGTGTTTTGTGTTAGGCGTGACTGTTATGTGTTTCCTGTTTTACTTTGAAGTTCTGTCTTATCTCAGTGTGTTCAGTTTACGCTTCCTTGTCTCATCAGTTCTGATTTGCCCCAGCTGTGTTTCCCTCCTGTTGTCCATTCCCTGATTGCTCCCTCTATGTATTTAAGCCCTGTGTTTCAGTTTGTCATGGGTTGTGATCATTGTGGTGTTGGTATCGTAGTTTTGTAAATAGCTGTAAATAGATTTGTAATTTGTTCACCTTGTATATATTGTTCACTGCAGCAGCCTAGTAGGCGTGAGAAGCCATTTTT